CGGGGGCCGGGGCTCTCCTTCACGTCTCCACTCAGCAGGGCGGACGTGCTCGACGATGGTGGCCGGCGTGCGGGTCGTCGAATTTATTTGAGGAAACACGAGAAACAACAACAAAAAGCGCTTGGAGCCAGATCCCATAGCCACGGAGGGACGGGTTGTAGCACACGTGCGTATACGTTGTCGCTAGCAGCCCCTGGGAGGTGCTGCGGAGGGACTTCCTCCCGCACGCAAGAGGCGCGCACACGGCGGACGGCCTTTGCGCTGCTGGAGGAACTCTCAGTGCTGCGGAGGGTCACAGAACGCACCATGGATCCGGTGTGTTGGCTTTTGGGGCAGCTTTTGGCGACGCTCCGACCCGCCGTGTTGGAAGGGCCGGCGTGGTCATGGGGCGGTGGAGAGAGCAACGGCGAACACGGCGACCTTAACGCAAAGGGATGGCAGGTGGTGCGGTGCGGAAGAAACGCTCATGATCATTGCACCGCCGGCACGCCTGTTGTCGAGCACCTCGAGAGAACGACGGTGAAAGGAGGTTCGTCTGGATTACTCTTCGCATCCCCGCTTCATGGCTGCTCATCACGATGGGGTTGCCGTGCGGTGATGCCACATGATATGAGCTGCTTGGAGAGAGTGTGTGCTGTGCGCTGCTCCTGGCCCTGGAGAAGCCGATTATCCCTTGTATCCGCTACAAGCACAAAACCCTGCTTGTGGTTACAGACAGTCAGTCTCTTCTTGCGGCTCTAAACAAGGGCCCGCTCAGTCAGACAGACCGGACGGAGGATCAGATCTGGCAGCGTCTCTTGACACTGGCGTGTGCTGGCTGGTCCGTGCACCTGCAGTTTTGTTACGGACATTGTGGAATACATGCTAACGAGCTTGCAGATCAGCATGCGGCGCAGACTATGGCAACTGGACAATACACGGAACATAGAATAGCACCTTTATGGCATACGGATCTGCTGACATGTTTTACTACCCGGCTCACCAACAAGTGGCGTAGTACGATTCGTCAAGAGACTCATCGCTACTTGCTTTGCGGCACAAGGCCATCAGATCTCAGCGGCAAGGACCTGATCACTCAGGAAGTTCTTCACTGTCAGGAACTGGTTCACCTCGCAAGGGCAAGGTGCGGCGAATCTGAGCTCTGGGGTCGACTATACTGGGCTGTGAGAGATTGCACGAACCAATGCCGTTTCTGCAACATCTCACCAGAACAGTCTGCATATATGCGCTCTAACAACGATCCAACTGCACCGGGGATGGACACTGTTCCCCCGTTGGCAAGGGACGAAGACGTCTCTCCAGTAAGGAGACGGACCATCACACGTCGTCGGAAGGAGAAATGTCCGTACTGTGATTCTATATTGACGGGATTCTCGAATCTCGTCAGTCACTGTCGGCCATTTCGTCCGGAGCGCCTTCCACCGCTTCCCGAGCTCAAATGCGATTTCTGTGACATGGCTTTCCCTATACGGAGAAGCACCGCACAGCACAGAAGTCGCTGCGCACACAACCCAGACGCCACACGACATCGAAACAGCAGTGCCAGGAGGCGATCTCTGCTGCCGCAGGATCAGCCAACTTCCACAAGCGCGCCAATTGGCCCGCAGGAGGCCTT